AAGAACGACTGAGTAACATTCATACATTACAATAATTTAATTGTCTAATACCTTTTTTTTATTAATTTTGACATTATAATCTAACAAAACGCCCTTCCTCTCTCCTACCAATTTTAAATGATGCTGTGCCGGACAGGATCCATAATTGTTAGTATATGTAATTTTTTTTTAAGTGGGGAAAAATCATCGAATTACTGCTCCCGCCTGGGTGAGGCGGAAGGTAGTGTCAGACTCTTACTGACTAAAAACCACCCCGTTCCTTCTCCTGCACGTCGAGCCGGAGCCCCGGTTACCCGTTAGGTTCTCCGCGACTCCGAATCGGCAACAGCTGATGGCTCTTTGAGGCGCGCGCGGAACGCTCGGCGCCGTACGCTCGGGTCTGTTTCTGGTCAGACGGGGAGCCACCCATGCTCGCCGTCCGCAGGCCCGCGCTTACGGTGGCCGGAGATCGTCCCGCGATCCCCGACGCCCGGTGTGTCCTTCGCGATGGCTGGGTTGCGAGGAGGCAGCGCTTCGCTGCCTCACGCGTCCCGCCTCCTCCTTAGCTAGCATGACTGCTTCGCAAAAGGAGGAGACGGCATCCCAGTGTGTGAACAAGTATAAGAGATTATGACATAATGTCTCTGCTAGTCGGGTTGTAGATCCCAGTGTAGGTTTCATAAAAAATATACTTAGTATACATTTGGTGACTGCCTCGTTGGCCGAGTGGTCGCAAGTGCGACTGCCGGACAAGGGGTCTCGGGTTCGATTCCCGGGTCGGGCAAAGTATTACTGGGTTTTTAAAAAAACTCAGTAGTAGCATGGAGTCTGGAATTGTGCCCGGTATATAGCAACAGGCTCACCCCCTATTACATGGGACTCATAACATAAATAGTGAAAAGTGGGTGTTATTTCTGTGTGCACCTCTGCCTACCCCTTCGGGGATAAAAGGCGTAATGTTATGTAATGTTATACATTTGGTGTATGCACTTTAAAATATTTTCACAAAAGTTTTGTAACAGTAAAATAACTATATGCAAATGTACAACATGTCTGAATAATATATTTCCTATCTAGTCATTTGCATGTTTGTAAGTAGGAGCTTGACTTATAAACATAGGTTCATATGTAGACTATAGCAAGACAACCTACTCCAAATGGATTTTCTACTTTATATCAAAAGAATAAGGTGTAAAATCTAAATGTGTAGGTTGGCCTACTTGTGTCTGTACATAATTATACTGCTTATTTAGTTAAACAACTCGGTCCCTTGCCTACCTTATGTTTTCTTTGCTTATCACTATGTTTATAAGTTTACAGTTAGGTTCGGTCTTGGTTGAATGATTTTGCACCTACTTATCTTAGTTTGATAGTCTATATTTGTTCGGCAAAGGTAATTTTTGCCAGTTACATATGCTATTACATACTACAGTAAGAAATAATGAGGATATAAAATATTTCAAGGATTTCTTCAGATATGAAAATATAGAGAGTAACTGTCAAGACGGACTCGACTAGTTTCAAGCCACGCTTGGGACTCATAACATATTAATAATTTACTTAGTCACCTGCTACTGTCATCTCTGCAACACCTAAAGGTCGACTGTTAGACAATGCCCAAGGCATTAAGTACAAGTGTTTTTGTACTAAGTCTAAATAAATATGACCAGTTACAAACGACTGTGGCTCGAAAACAGTCAAGCTGCTCGACAAATAGTTACGTCAATAAACCACTAAACATAATAGTTAATTCAATACGAGCCTCTACCACCGACTTCACTGCGTTTCTATAATAATAAATGGAGGGCCGCATCAATGCAGCGCACGGCGGTAGGCCGTAAGATATTTGTCATTAAATATTTTAACGAATACCTCCATATATACTTATTTGCTTACTTTGTCGTTATAAATTATTATGTTAATGTTAAAATCCTAAAATTGTGACCGCTATTACAACCTCTTGTTACTCCTGGACAAATCAAAAAATGGAAAATTAGTTTAAGTATTTATTTCTGTATAAGTGATTTAATCAAGTGCTGTAATCTTTTAGACATAAATGAATTCAAACCGTAATCTACCCATATTCCAAATTACATCTCGATCCCTTCAGCGGTTCAGACGTAGTTGTGTGACAAACATACACACACAAATTCACTTACAAACTTTCGCACTTATATCATTAGTAAGTAAAATGTCTCACGAGATTTTTATTACAAAAATATGTTGTTAATTTCGAGCATTAACAAGCAATGAAACACAATTTTTTATCGTGTATTTAAAACATATGACGCGAGTGTCCGCGCGTGTAGTCGCGAGAAAACTGCCTGATAAGTTATCAGTGATTGAATCATAGGCTAGCATTAAGAGTAGGTCTTTGTGTTGAATTCTAGTGTTCATGAATATTTTATAGTTAGGTACTAATGTTTAATTGAGTTGGTTTTATGAAAAGGAGTTTGTGAACCGAAGGATTCGCTGTCTGGTATATTATGTGCGGCATCATACCATGAAGTGTAGATATCCATCTATGATATAAAAATTTGTTATACTCGTTTCTTAATAACTGAGATTTATTTGATCAGGGGCGGATTTACCTCTTATCTGTCGATATATGAGACACAATAGAAAACATATTATGTTTCGCGTAAATATGCGTTCTGACAGACAAGAGGTCAAACATACAAATAGTATATGTGGCCTAGGGAGCCCTCTTAATATTTTTTAATTTATAGCCCTCTCTAAATACTTATACCTACTGTATAAGTATTTGTTTAGTAATATATATTATATGGTATGTATATGTAGGATCTGTATATCTACTTATATATCCGATGCGCTATACAATGTCGAGTATATGAATATGTGTAATAAATATATGTGCCAGTCGGCTTCCAACAGTCAGTCGTTTCACTTGTCTCCACAATAGTACCCAGTCACTACATTGGCGACCCCGACGAACGACGCCTAACAAAGATACTCGACACTGTGCTGACACAAATAAGTGCACGCTAGTGATAATCTAGTGCTGGGAACTCTAAATCAAAATGAATCCAATTGGCGCAACACAGGCAATAGTGAAATCAGAAGAATCGACTGCAATAATATCCTCATTGTCAGTGGCAAATAAAATTCCCGAATTTTGGCCAGAAAATCCAAGGCTATGGTTCATCCAAGTAGAAGCAATTTTGACGCCTCAAAAAACGTCCGACGCAAATAAATATTATATGGTCGTCGCAAAGCTGAATAAAGAAGTGATCCAGCAAGTAGCGGATATAGTTGCAAACCCTCCAGACACAAACAAATTTGAAGCCTTGAAAAGTCGTCTCTTACAAATTTATGAAGAGTCTGAAACCAGACAAATACAAAAATTGGTATCAGAAGTGGAGCTAGGTGATCAAAAACCTAGTCAACTTTTAAGAAGGATGAAGGAATTGGCTAGAGGGAAAATAAAAGATGAAGCATTGAAAATATTATGGCAAGGTCACCTACCTGCAGCAGTTAGAGCCGTACTCACTGTGACTTCTGCCGAAGATCTGGAAGAGTTAGCTGCAATAGCTGACAAAGTTATGGAAACAAATCAGCCTGCACAGATCAGTGAAGTAGCCCACAGCAGTTCGCATCATGCAACGAGTCGGTGGCCGGCCTCTCCCCGGCCGACGTACAGGTGGTGGCGACGTAGGTGCGTAGTGGCCGGCATCTGCGTTGACGGGAGGAGGTGTCCTTCAGACCGTGTGCAGAAGTGCTGTGCCTAGACGCTGGTGAGGCCGTAGGGAAGAACCAGGCTGCACAACTTCGTTGCAGGCGATGGTGGTCCCTGATGAGGCCGAGGATGCTGGTTGGCTGCGACTTGATTACCGCTCAGCGGAGAAGTGATGAATGAGAGGGATGGCGATACGGATGACGGTGCTAATCTGCTCCGTGAAGTGAAGGTTGTTTCCAATCACGTCGGGGTCACCACTGTAGGGAACAGAGTGTAAAGTTCCCTAAGATCGGAAAAGGAGGATTCCTCCGACCAGGCGAGGTGATCGTGCCTGGCGGGCTTTCTGCCCAACAGTTGTTCGTTGGGATTTTCTATCCGTGTTTATTCGCTTGTAAACTTTGCATGTGCGATGTAGGATTCTTGTGACGTCATCTGTTGACATGTGGCATGTGTCGCCACATATATGTCTATACAGATTTATAAAATATTGTATTAATATATTTATTCTATAGGTATTTATGTGTGTAGTATACATATTACATAACTTTATTTTTTCAATTGTGTTCTGGCTTCGCATCAACCACTTCATTTCTCTGCACTTCCCTATGGTTGACTGTAAGAGAATGCCTTAAGGCATTAAGTCCGCCATTCACTGTATTTTGTGAAGAAGATAATAATAAATAAATAAATAAATATACTAGCAAAGCCTAGGCAAGCAAATTTTGTTTCGCGCCGCCGCCATTTTATAGGATGTTAGACATGTACGTATTGCGATGCCCCCCTGTTACCTGGCGCCCAAGGCTCTTGTCTAATTTGCCTTAGGGATAATACGGTTTTGACATTAACATTCAGTACAGAATAACACACCCACACGCACGAAGCGCTTCGCATCAAGCTTCCTTGTGCGTAGTGCTAAGGAGTGGAATTCTTTACCAGAGTCTGTGTTTCCTGAAGGGTATAAGAGTCTCCAAAGTGCGAGTGAATAGGTTGCTTATGGGTCGACGTGCTCCATCGTAGAGCGCATCATCGCTTACCACCAGGCGAGATAGTTGGCAAACGTCGGCCATCGGATCTTATACTATTATATAAAGCGAAAGAGTTTGAATTTTGTTTGTTTGTTTTAACGCGCTAATCTCCGTAACTACAAGTCTGATTTGAATAATTCTATTTGTGTTGGGTAGCGCATTTATCGAGGATGGGTATAGGCTATAAAACATCACGCTACGACCAATAGGAGCTGAGCAGAGCGTGTGAAACCGCGAGGAAGTAGCTAGTCAAATATATAAAAAAAGAATAACTGAAAATAAGCACTTCTAAGACTCACCTCTCTTCAAAAATGCTAGAATTCGCCATAAAACTATCATCAATAAGGCTGCTGTCTTCCATAGCACTTCTGTCGAAAGTCTTATCTTCATCCTCTCGCGGCAACAGAGGGGGTAAGCTGTGATACTGCTCCTCCAACGACTTGCTTTGTTCCGAGCGATACTTCTGATTCCAAAGTTTTTTCGTTTCGTCTTGCACTCGGCGTTTTAATTCCGATATCTTTTCACGTTCGTTTTCGATTACTTGGCATCCTTTTGGAAAGAAATGATAAGTTTTTATAATAACTATCGTGAGACATACTTAATTAACTAAAAATCGTGGGTTATTCACGTGAATATACTGAGAAAAGCTCTACTAGTTTCGAACCACAGAGGGGTTCTTTCTTATGAGCAGCGTGCGCGGTCGCGGCGATGATGTGCAGCCTCAAGAGAGGCCCTCAAAAGAGCTTTTCTCAGAATATTCACGTGAGTAACTCGCGATTTTTGGTTAAGAAATGATAAAATTGTTTTAATATAAAATAGTGAAATTAAATTATTGGGATTCTTGTTTAGTCGTTTCAATAATACCTTTTTAGACAGACCTTGGTTGGCTTGTTTTCGGTCTACTTGAAATACTTCTTTTTGAGGCAATAACAGGCTCATTTTTTGTACAAACCAAAATTTACGAAATTAAGGTACAAGTTTTTTTTTAATTTACATTATCATTCAATTTATGCATTATGTAATGCTCATGTACAGCCAATTCTAAGCTAGAGCGAAAACCTTGACTTCTTTGTGATAATAAAGAAAATAGAACACTAAAAACAATAGCAAAAAATTATAATATTTACCTTGTTCCTCCAACATTTCAAGGCGTTTCCTTTCGACCTCCATCAGACTGTCCAGCGTCCTTTTCCCCAACGTATTCATATCAGTATCAGACGGCAATATGGGAGCATCTATAGTGACCTTCGATATCCTATCAATATCATCTTGCGAAGGGATTTTCACAGCATCAGCCATTTTCTGAAATTCTTTCACACTAGGTTCATCTCCACAGCTCTTTCTATGAAGAATTTTAGCTGATTGTATACTGCTTTCTTTAGGAGGTGTATTCTCAAAGGTAACTTTAGCTTTTTGTTCTTCTGTATCAACTTCTTCCATGATATCTTCTTCTTTTTTATCGGGTGATAGAGATTTAGCTTTAACGTATTTATTGTCAGCGTTGATTGGTTTTGTGTTTTTAATGTAACGGTTTTTCGAATTGTTCTCCTTGTCTGACTCATCGTTTTTGAGGCTATTCTCTCTAGATCTTTTATTGAACGAATCTTTTTTCATTATCTTTCCTAAAGCAGCGAATGTTGGTATTTTCGATGATGAATTGCTTTTGACTGGTCCAGGAGCTTTTTCCTTCTTCTTCGAATGCCTTAAGCTGTTGAATTTGTCTAAACTAACATCAGCTTCTATATTATCATTATAGAACAGATTTTCGTTCAAACTCTGCGACATGATGTCGACTTTTTCGGGCGATTTTGGTTTTTTACTCTTCCGTTTTAGAGAATCGAAGTTTCTTTCCCAAAATCCTTTCTTTTCCTTCGAAGACGTTGAAGACTTTGAAGGGCTTTCACTGTACCTTTCATTAGTATCTGCTAAGTCAGTAATGACTCTTCTTTCAATGTCTACAGTCATAGATTGGGACATTTGATCTATAGAATTGAATTTATCTTTAAGATTCTTAGTATGGTCTTCGAAGGTTGAGATTTTTAGGTCAATGTCATCGCTATCGGAGCTCTGTGGGGAATAGCCAAATTCTCCTGACTTGGCTCTAGTTTGGTCGGTGAAGAAAGCGCTATCAGGAGACTGTGTTCTTTCTATATCGTTAAGTTTTGCTACGATAGGTTTTAGTTCTTTTTCTACAGCTTGTACTTTACCAGTTAGTTCTTCGACTAAGTTAAGTAGTCTCACGTACTCTGCGTGAAGTATTTTTGTTTCATCTAGAGCTGATGTTAGATTGTTGTTAGCTTCTGATTTTAATGTTAGTATCCTTGTCTTCTGCGCTTCTATTTTCTTTGTTAGTAAGATGATTTCATTTTGGATGTCTTCTCTGTTTGATAATCTGTAACAGATAATTATAAGCATAGTTATTAGAAGTTTCATTGAAACTTACGTTTTATGCTTTTTCCTTTGTCTTACAATTGTTTCTTTTCGCGAAACAGGTAGACTAAGTAGGTTCAAATGAATCATTTGTAATCATCATCTGTAAAGTATCATTTAAAATGATACTTTGAGAGATATTTGATTTAGAGGCCCTTCATAATTAGTAGATGCTTATTTATTTGTAATCATAATTTTATATTAAGTGTTTTTTTACTTACAGCTCTGACTCTTCTTCCAGATGTTGGAATTCCAGGTCCTCAGAGATCTTGGTCTCGTTGTCTAAGATATCCTGCGCGTTCTGCAACTCTTCAAGAGTGGCTGCATTGCTCTTGAGGTCTTTCTCTATCCTGAATTAGAAAATATTAAAACATTAAGATTATGATAAAATAGGATGGACCTAGATTGGTTCCTTGGGGAACACCTTGTACTGAAGGTAAAGTTTAATTATTAATACGTAATTGATGTTGATTGATATCTGATTTTTATTAAAAATGTTATAGTATATCAATATCACCTAGGTTCGTTTGAAATGGCACGTATCAATTATGGTTATGAACTACAACCATAATTTACGGTTAGTTTATCAAGTACTGGAAAGTGTATTTTTACAGAGTTTAAGAAAGTAGTTGAAAGGGTATTTTTACTAAGTGTATTAATTAGGAAAAACAATAAGACTCACCTTTCAACTTTCAAAGTAGCGATCTCAACTCGATCCCTCATCTCATTCTGCCTTGTCTCTTGTTTTTCTTTCAGTTGCTTAATTTCTTCTTCAATCTTCTTTGCACTCTCCACTAAGTCCATCTTTTTCTTCTGCTCTATGTTTAGGATCGCTATTTCTGAGTCATACTCTCCTTTGATTAGGGCTTTCTCCATCTCCAACTAGAAAAAGAAAATGTTAGTCAACGGGCTGTCTTTTTTTAAACTTTGCATCATTGAAATACAAAGCTGAGTTAGTGGAATATGCAGTGAAATCCTAACTTACCTCTCTCAAAATATCATCTTCTTGTAACCTAATTTCAGACATTTTGCATTTAATTTCATGTATCTCCGTCACCAACTTCTTCCTGTCTTCTTTTAATTTCTCATATTTAGTCTTCAATTCATCTACATTGTCATCTAAAACTGCACTGTCTAAAGAGTCAGCTTCTATATCTATCTTCTTAATGTCTTCTGTGATGTTCTTTATAATCTTATCTCTTTTATTCTCTTTCAAATCTTTTTCGAATTCTTCTAATTCTGGAATGTCTGCCATTAGTTCTTTTTTCATGTCATCGAAACTTTGGTTTTTATTTATAACTACGTCTGGACTCTTTTCGGGAGTCGCTTCCTTTTTATCATCGTTAGCTACTTTGGAATATCTAAATTCTAAGTCATTTGTCAAATCATCGTCTATCATTGGTATTTCTTCTTCAAGACTCAATTGTTTTTCAATACCATCGAATTTAGGTTTGTCACTTTCATTACTAGTTTGCTTTTCTTGTTCTGTCCGTTCGAAATTAGGTTTTTTGGAATTATCTACTGGGGGCGGAGTGGGGAATATAAAATACTGTGGTGAAGGTGGATTCATTTTATGAGCAAATGTCGTTTTAATTCTAGTCCTAGGGCTTTGAGTGTTAGGAGATTTAGGTTTTAAGTTACCGTACACGTTGTTTCTATAGTAGACGTTTTCGTAGGGGCTTCCTATGGGGGAGGAGAGGTTAGGGACGCGATCCCCACTTTGGTTATGGAGTTTTCTTATCATAATGGGACTAGAAAGATCGTGCATTCGTGGAGAAGGATCATCGAAGACTGGAATCCCTATTTCATCCATCCTGCCTACATTTTCGTAGTTGTTTTGATTTGGGATGACGACCTCAGGAGTGAGCTCTGTGGGGGAGGTGGTGTCGAAGTTCTCATAGCTGGAGAGGTTCCTTTGGATGGGAAGAGACTGGCTCATTGGTGAACTCTTGTTATGACTAGTTTCAAACCTGAAAAAGAAAAAGACATTTCAGATTAGAGCGTGCGACAGTTATTATCTAATTTTACAGAGAATATAAGAAACTGAAATAAAAGAAAGCCTATTTAAAACTATAAAGTATAAAGATAAATTATTTTGCAATGTCAATGTCCTAAGCAACTAATAAGATAGAAGTACATTTCTATAAATCTCTTCTTAATTACCATTCAAAACAAGCTTTGGTTTATTTACTTTACAAAAGACATTATTTATTCGTTTTACTAAACGAATACAGTTTCAAGTCAATCAAAAACCAACCATAAATACAATAGAAATAACTATGAAAATTGACTTACTTGTAATACCCATCGCTGGTCTGTACAAAGTTGGGGTTGTTTAGCGCGACGCTGCGCGGGAGTGACCCGTTTGTGATGATCTTGTTGTGCGGTCTCTTTTCCGTTGGCGTTATTGGGATGCCTGGAAATAAAGTTGACATAAAATTAATTAATATAAGTAGGTTAGTTATTAAACATATATAGGCAGTATATTATACTGCCATTTATTTTCTTTAATAAAAAAAAAGTTATTTAACTAGCTTTCTGCTCACCATTGTTCAAGGTACTAAAGAACATTTAAATCTTGCTCAAAAACAATTTATTCGTTTAGTTAACCGTATAAAAATTTATTCATCAGTTTTAAGGAGTGTGTGTGTGTGTGTGAGTGAATTTGAGACAGAAGACGACATTTGACATAGAAAAATAGAAAAAGATACAAACTGTCAAGAGCTCAAGGAATAAAGGTTCCTGTCTTTCAAATACTCAAATAGGGCGAGGTACAAGCTCTAAGGCTTCACAAGGAAGATTCATTGACTATCTGCGTCAGGGCAATATATTGAGGATAAAATGAAGGGGAATAACTATTTACAATAAAATATACTTGACACAAAACTTACCAATACAAAAATTACACAGAAAATGCCGTTTTCCTTCACTCACATTCTTATTAAGAACTAAAACATTATCAATGAAGCTATACAGCAGCTCTAGCCAAATGCCATTTAGCGCTTGTCTACATGTAGAATAGAAAACCAAATTATATGGAATTGACGTAAATTTTGACACTTGTCAGTGTCATCCCCATACATTTTGATATCTACTCTCACTGTAGACAAGCGCTAAAGTGGCGTTTGGCTAGAGGCCCTGCAGTGCTAGCCAAATGCCATTTAGCGCTTGTCTACATGTAGAGTAGAAAACCAAATTATATGGAATTGACGTAAATTTTGACACTTGTCAGTGTCATCCCCATACATTTTGATTTCTACTCTCACTGTAGACAAGCGCTAAAGTGGCTTTTGGCTAGAGGCCCAGCAGCTGTAGCCAAATGCCATTTAGCGCTTGTCTACATGTAGAGTAGAAAACCAAATTATATGGAATTGACGTAAATTTTGACACTTGTCAGTGTCATCCCCATACATTTTGATTTCTACTCTCACTGTAGACAAGCGCTAAAGTGGCTTTTGGCTAGAGGCCCAGATTACATACAACGGAAAACTGATACAAGTAACTTTATATTATACAAATACACACAAACAAACATACACATTCAGTTCACAGTGTCGCTAGTGTCTTTGTAAAAAAATATTTGCTTTGGTATTTTGTTCGGAGTGATATTAGTTCCAATTTTGCCCACTGGCATGTGTAAGTTGGTTTTGTTTGCCTTGGATATGCAACGTGAAGGTTTGTTGGTTAAATATGGTGAGAAAAAAGGTTGGTTATGTGTTTTATTAATAATAGAGTGACTGACAAGTATCGATAAGACCTTGTAGGGCTTGAAAAGGTGTAATATAAGTACCGTAGACCTCTAAATACTAATTTGATTAGATGTTATTATCTTATTAAATGTTATCATATACCTCGAGGTATATAAAAGAAAGTCGTGTTAGTTACACCACTTATAACACAAGAACGGCAGAATAGATTTGGCTGAAAATTGGTAGGGAGGTAGCTTAGAGCCAGGAGACCGACATAGGATACTTTTTGACCAAAATTTTTTTTTTACTTTTTACCGAAAATCACGATCGGGGACGGGAAAAAATGGAATTACGCGTACGAAGTCGCGGGCAGAAGCTAGTATTTAATAAAATAACATTTTAATTATTGTTTACCTACTGAATCAAGGGTTTTATTGGAAAGTCGAGAAAGTATGTTTCGATCGGTCAAAATCAGGATTCCTTATTATATACTACTAAAAAACTACGCCCATTTTACAAACAAATCATTGAACCTTTGAACAAAGCATAAAGAGTATTGTACCAAATTCGTCTATGCTTATAGATTCACTTTTAAATGACGGTATGATCTTTATTTTGTATACATTTCCTGCAATTAACATTATATTTTTGCAATTGTTTTCAAAATGAAGAACCCAACCAACTTATTTCTGAAGAGGTATCAGGAAATATGTTATAAGAAACTAATTAGGAGACTCACCCGAAGAGATCTGTCTCTCATACTCGGCGCACATGTTGAGGATCTCCTCCAGCCGGGCAGTCTCCGCTTCCTTCTGCTCCTCCTCCTTTATACGGTCCTGGTACGCCTGGAAAGAGATGGGCACACAATTAATTTTCAAAGTCATATCAAAGTCAAAGTCAAAATCATTTATTTCAATTAGACCAGGATGGCACTTTTGAACGTCAAACAACAAAAATTTAGAAGTAAAGCTAGTTGCTCATTCCAAGGCGTAGATTCCTATGGAGAAGAACGAGCAAGAAACTCCATAACCTCAATTATTAAGATAATCATTATTATAGAGGTAATATAGGATACATAAGACTGCCTCGTTGGCCGAGTGGTCGCGAGTGCGACTGCCGGGCAAGGGGTCTTGGGTTCGATTCCCGGGTCACGCAAAGTATTACTGGATTTTTAAAAATCTCAGTAGTAACACAGAGCCTGGAAATGTGCCCGGTATATGGCAATAGGTTCACCCCCTATTACATTGAACTAATAACATAAATAGTGAAAAGTGGGTGTTACATTATACAATGGCATTAAGTGCCGTAATGTGCACCTCTGCCTACCCTTTCAGGGATAAAAAGGCGTGATGTTATGTTATATAGTAGAGGTATTTCTATGGGATAGAGTGACAAAAGCTCTGGTGAATCGCCTGATCGTAAGGTATCAGCGCTAACCGTGAATGCTCGCACGATCGCAACATCAGGGGAATTTCAAGTGCGTAGTTAACATTTTAAAAGGAGTATACTTTATTTTGGTAAAGTAAAAATGAACCACCGAAATGCATATACGCCCTTAACTCTCGAACAACTCGACAACTCGTTATTGTTAGGGCACAATTTGTAATAAAAACAAAATGTGACAATTGGGCAGTTTCCAGGGTATTAAAATTAAAAATCTAATTAGTCCGTAAGTAACATAATCAAAAAATATTAGACACGATTTTTTTATTTTTTCGTATTAAGTTACAATACTTAGATAAAAAGTTTAGGAGTGGGAGGTCGTTACGTCATAACGTGCTACAAAATGTGGCACGCTGTGATGTCATACGATATTTCAAATTAATATAACGTCGAAAGTATTCAATTAATTTTGTGAGAAAAGAAAAAATACGTGTCTAAAGTTTTACATTAATGTACCTGACGGAAATTAAAATGAAGTTTAGGAAACTACCCTATTCACCAGGAACAAAGTTGAAATTGCACCCGGTTTAAGCTAGGGTTGGTGGCCGCTGGTAAAATATAAAGATGACTGTAAAAGTGTTGTGATGACATATCCGATAACAACGTTTTGAGAATCCTATGATATATGTCGCCGTGGTCCTATTGTTTTTAAACTGATATGGTCTCTAAGGAAAAACTGATATCGTAGGAATCGTAGTAATTGGCCTACCCCCATGGGAGACAGGCGTGAATTTATGTATGTATGGTCTCTAAGCATGTTGTTAAAATAAAAATGGAATACTAAATCGCAGACCACAGTCCTCTATGGCTCGAAACTCGTGCTTTTCTCAGTATATTCACGTTAGTAACCCGCAATTTTAGTTAAAATAGGATATTTATAAATAATGTTTAATGATTATATTATTAGTGGGTGTTACATTGTACAGTGGCATTAAGTGCCGTAATGTGCACCTCTGCCTACCCCTTCGGGGATAAAAAGGTTATGTTATGAATTTCTTAGATTTCCCAACTCACCATGCCACAGAACAGCTTATCAATCTTCCTAATAATACTATTGTACATTTCATTTCTAATATGCAGCTGGTTAAACTGATTGCATTTCAAATCGTTGCCAACTAAAATCACATTGCTATTCTGTATCGGCGACGAAATATTCTGACTGGCAACACTAACGGACGCCATCTTTGTCAGTTCCAATTTCAAATCGTCATAAGACCGTTTGATTTTCTCTTCCAATTTCAAAATTTTGCTGCCAATACAATTTTCGTGGTCTCTTGTTACTTTTATGTAGTGATTGGTTAAAATTGTGTTTATGGTTTTATATATTTTGATGTCGTTTCGAATTTTGTGAACGACGTCTAGTTTCTCATTGACTGCGTTCGTCATATCGATTATTTTCTCGTAATCGTTTGGTCGCGATGTCTCGATTGATTCTTTTAACTCCTTCAAAGCTGAAGTGTTCCTTTTCAGGTTATTTACGAAGAGTCTAAGTAGACGCTTTTGTGGAGGTCCCTTTTTGTTCTTTACCGCCATTTTGTCAATTGATTTTCAACACAAATTAAATGCACATAGAATCACTTTTTGCACGATTTCAAAAATTGATTAGCACACCATTTTTGTTTAATAAAATCACTGTAATGTTTTTTAAAGTGTGTTTGTCATTACAAACATGTCTGTCTACCTCAGAAACTGATGGAGCGTGAACATAATCGACCAAAACTGTTCGCGGCTCAACGAGTACTAAATCTTTAAAAATGAAAGTAAACGAAATCTGTCATTGATAACTTATATCACATATCATCGTAAACTGAACATACATAAAAACTCTTTATGTCTTACACAATAAAGTTCAAATTAGCATAACAGAGGTGATTAGTGATGCAAATAAATTTTTATGCTAAAAACAATCTTATATCTTGTATAATGAAGTTGACATTTGCGTAACAAAGACGGTTTGTGAAGCAGATTTTTTTTAAACTTTCTTGTATTAATTGGTTTTCGAAAGAAAAGGATGTCTATAATATGTTTTATATTAAAATAACGTGTTTTTAATTAATTGCATCATAATTGTAATAAGTTACGAAGACATATTAATGTAATCTATGCAAATTCAGTTTGTCTTTTTGTCGTGGCGCCTAAACAGCTGTATCAATTTTGATGAGATTTCGTACCGATATAGTTTTCGACAATGATTTATAGATAGATAAGGGTATTTAAGCTACATTCTTCACATCAGATTATTATTACAATTGCATATTATTATGATTTATACAATTCATATTTTATCATCATACTAGTAGCCGTTTTCATCAACTACCCCTAAACCATCTCTTAACTAAGAGTCACTTAGCGTGAAGGAGCACCTAAATTAACTCATTACTTATACTGTAAAGTGTCATTTATAGGTTGGTCCAAACCAAAATGACGTTAAGTGTCACCTATTTTAGCTTAAGGTTCGGTGCAAACGTTACATGCATGCATGGACAAGTATAATCATGAATTTCATAAAACCTATAATTATTTAGCACAATGAAAGTTTTACGATTAATTAATTTTAAAAAGTAAATACTCAAAAACCATAAGTGAATTAAACTGTCAAACACCGCGAGGACTCCGGTGACCGCAACCTATTGTTCTTTAATTGTGTCTATAATGACGGTACTCAAAGGGTTAAGTACAAGATTTTCTTATGTTTTTTTTTTTCTATTCCTAATTATAAACGAATCACACAGACAGACTCACCCCAAGTTTACAAAAGAATGAACAATGAACGAATTTACAAAGTTCTGATTGGTTGATTAAAATTTAAATCATCCAATCACAGGTCTTAGTACCAGATTAACAGATTAATAAATAGTTCATAATATGCGTTAATCAGTTTTAAGGAAACCATGTTTATAAGACACTTAGATTATAAATATTATCTGTACCTAATCAATAAAAAATTGTATTATTTTACTAGGAATTATAACAAAAATGGTTTTTTTTTCAGGTTACCTAACATTGTTTGTAATGACAAGACACTTTAAATACAACATCACGCTTATATTCCATTGGGTAAGGACAGAATGTGTACATATATTATATCATTTTATATACATCCTACGTTTTTAATAAGAAGTTTACATAAACACAATAAAAAAAACTGTTTTGCAAAGAATTCATTACTAAATCAATATGTTAAATAAGTAATTAAGGACGAAAATGTTGCATTATTTATGTAATTTTATTATATACCACGGATCATACTCTATATATTTTCTCTCTATATATAAGTCACACACAAGCTTGCAATCTGCCTGATCGAAGCAGATACCGTTGCCTATTCACATCTGTAGAACCAGAGAAATTGCGCCCTTTATAGACCAGCGAATATTACACAAAACACTTCATTTATACAACTCAATTGCACTAAAACATTATATTACACACTTATATTAACACTTAGGAATAATTAACATATATTTTTCTTACGAATTATTAATTAAAATCATACTAAGTAAGTCAGGTTATGTGTCAAACGACATACTAAAAACACACACTATACAAATGCCGCATTGCGATTCAGAAGTCTACAAATAGCGTCAATTCTTATCACTGATAATGCCATTGTTACTTTAATTACAATTATAACGCTTTAAATATCTCAAGATTACAAGGTATTATGATATATTCTGACGATTTTAGTATTGAGTTCCGTATAAAAAAAAATATAAGGTGATAAACGATTTTATTCATCAGATAGTACTTAGAACAAAAGTAGAAACCGATCACTTTCGTCTCGTCACTTGTCGCGCACGCTGCTCATGGTTATAGGCCCCGGTCGCAGCTTGAAACTAGTCGAGTAAGTTTAGTAAACCGTAGTAAATAATTTATAATGTCGCACGATACTTATTGAAGACCTTTTAATGCGTTATAACACGGAACATTTATTCAGCAATAACACAAATTTTAACCAAAGAATCACAAACAAAAATATCGACTTCTAGATATTATTATCTTATACTATTATATAAAGCTGAAGAGTTTGTTTTTTTGTTTATTAGTTTGTTTGAACTCGCTAATCTCCGTAACTACAAGTCTGATTTGAATAATTCTTTTTGTGTTTGATAGCGCATTTATCGAGATTGGCTATAGGCTATAAAACATCACGCTACGACCAATAGGAGCTGAGCAGAGCGTGTGAAACCGCGCAGAAGTAGCTAGTACAAAATAAAACTAGTTAGACATAAAGTAGTCTAAAACAAGTGTTCTTGCAAAACTACATAATATTTGGTCTAATGTATCCTCAATTAGTCTAGAAGTTGCATAACTAAATATTAGTTTAACTAATTCTAATTATGTATACGTTTTTACTTCACAAAATACCTAAAATGATGCTCAAAAAATACTACTAAAGAAAGCATTATTTAGTTCATAAAACGGGCTAAATAATGGAACTTTCAGATTTTCTTTATGACCTATTGGTATTTTAAGATAGACGGCAAAACAGACTGAAAGTAATAACCGAAAATCTACATACATTTAGGTCGATTTTTGACATGAATTGTTAGAAATTTCTGTCAATAACAGAGACTTTGGAGATTTCGATTAATTTTTTTGTATATTTGACGAGCTTCTGCCCGCGTCTTCGTACGCGAAATCCAGTTTTCTCCCGTTCGATTTTCAGAATTCTTTTAATATACAATACAATAACGAACACAACAATCAGCCAAATCAGTCCAGCCATTCTCAAGTTATGACGTGACAACGGGAAACGTGTTTCATCCTTACTAATATTATAAATCGGAAAGTGAGTTTGTTTGTTTGTTCCACTTTCACGCCGTAGCTACTAAACCGATTGCTTTGATTTTTTGCAGACGTAAAGTCCGGATTAAATAATAGGGTACTTTTTATCGCAGAAAAAAATGATATTTCCGAGGGAAAACAAAAGTATTGGTATAGATGGCGCTGTGTGTATTGGTATATGTCATTAATAATTTCGACCGTACTTAAGTAAGTTATTCACAATCAGTATCAACATATATCTATCCATCAATAGACTTGGCTACTGGGTCATTGAGTCACCCATTGAGCTGGTCACCAGCTCTTAAAGAGGTAAGATACGAAGCGTATAACCTTCCTCAAGATTATGTAATGCAATTAAATTACAATAAATTTAATTGTGGGAGAGCCATGCTTCGGCACGAATGGGCCGGCTCGACCGGAGTGATACCACAGCCACACAGAAAACCGACGTGAAACAACGCTTGCATTGTGTTACGTCGTGAGTGAGGTTACCGGAGGCCCAATTACCCTCCCCTTCCCCAATCTTCCTAATTCCTGAATTCCCAACGATCAATCCTCAAACTTCTAATCCCCCAAAGGCCGGTAACGCACTTGTAACGCCTCTGGTGTTCCAGGTGTCAATGGGCAACGCCGATTGCTTACCATCAGGTGATCCGTCTGCTCGTTTACCGGCTTATGCCATAAAAAAACCATAATATATTTTTTTGCTATCAGTTCAAAGATAAACACATACAAATTAAACGAACTATTAGTATGGAGATTACTTTTGACAGTTTTACGTAACAATCTAATATTTATGCACATTTTAGCAGAAACCGAGCGGAGACGTCATATTTGCATAACAATTTGCATTGAAAGTCACTTCTTAGTATTCTTGATATTAATATTGATATTTAGCTCTTCAAGATTGTTTTTTTTGGTGGAGACTTGAGATACTTGCGATTACCAAACTATCGTGACACATCATTAACATCAACAGCCTATAAGTGGCCACTGCTGACCAAAGGCTTCTTCTCACACGGGTTTGAGCACTAATCTCCACGCTTGCGAATGGGACTCTGGTTCGATCAAACTATTGTTCGGTTTTTGGGATTTGATTTAGGAAACCGTGAAGCATAGGTACTTTGAAATGAAGTTCCATAAGTTATTGATTTTCAAAATATAGGTACAAGACGGGTTCCCTGTTGTAGGCAACTTTTATGTTAAAAACCTCCTTTGTAGCGCGATAAGAAAAATGGTGGTAACGAAGTGAATTTGCGTTCGCGCTAAAATTCAAAATTCGAAGCCCCGCCTACGCCTCCCTCGAGCGGGCCCCGCGCTCGCGCCAACAGTCGCTGCCGAAACGTTGATTGAGTGAGCGTGTTCGAAGACGGTCAGCGTTCCCGCCAATTTTCTCGGTTTTTGAATTCGTTGTGGATACATCCAGCCCTAATCGGTTACATTATGTATTATAAAATAATTCCTAGAAATGACATGTTGAGTTCATTAATAGTTAAAAAGAGGCTATTTGTGGTTTCTTCAATAAATATTATTGAGTATATTTATTTAGTAGTTAATAGAAAAGGAAAAAGATTCTGCTAAATTAAGTGCTTACTGGATATTAACAAAATTACAAATGATGCTGTTATCTGGTTGATAGCGAAGATAATTAATATCAATGTAGCATGTTTAAATATTAGGTATTTTCCTTATTGGATAAATACTGTTTCTTTGATATGTGCGAAATATTAAACATTACACCAACAGAACAGATGGATCATGAGATCATGAGATGGTAGCGATCAGGGACACATATCTCGGCTTACTTATACTATTTTAGTGCTAAATCTATACATAATAAAATCGTAGAGAAGTCAAAACTGTACATTGAATATTTAAAATAAAACACTTGGAGCGTGATCTACAGTCGATACCGAAGTTAAAAATATGGTTTTTAGAATTTTTGTCTGTTTGTCTATATGTATGTCCGGGATGAACTCAAAAAGTACTGCATGGATTTACTTTAAATTTTGCATGAATATTACTTACAAGTCGGGTCAACATATAGGCTACATATTATTACACTATCATCTACGAGAGAGGAACCCTATACTACGTACTGAATCAATTCTTTCGTTACCGTATTCCATTGATAAAGACTAATTTAAAAGTCTAAATTCTGCCAGAAGTCATTATTCTACATCATCATCATCATCAACAGCCTATAAGTGCCCACTGCTGAGCAAAGCCTCTTCTCACACGGAGAAGGTTTGAGCATTAATCACCACGCTTGCTCAAAGCGGGTTGGCGATTTCAAACTTATAATTAGAAATTATAAGTCCAGGTTTCCTCACCATGTTTTCCTTCACCGTTTGTCAGTGTTGTCTGAATATTCTTAGAAAGTACATATAACTCGGAAAAAGTCACATGGGTACTTGTCGTTGGTAGGTTTCGAACCCGCATCCTCGCATGAGAAGAGGCCGTCTTAAACCTCCGAGCCGCCACGACATTATTCTACAGCTAGTGAGGAATAAGTACTGTATTTTCTTGACAGTTTGAAGGTCAAATCGATTCGGAAAAACTGCAGTCGAGGAGTTTATTCATAAGTTTTGTTATAAGAGACAGAAAGTTTCGTGAAAAACGCTCAGTTCTTATAATAGATATGTAATATAATTATGTAAGTTTATTGTTATGTCATATACATGTAAGTTTATATAGGGATTAGCACAATCCAAACAGCAAAACTATGTAACTAGTAAATTGTATTGTGAACCTGATTGAAAAAGAGAAACTTATGGAGTTTCTTGCTCGTTCTTCTCCATAGGAATCTACACCTGGATTGAGCAAATAGCTTCACTTTTAATTTTTGTTCTTGGTGATGTTCAAAAGTGCCCTTCTGGCCTAATTGAAATAAATGATTTTGACTTTAACTTTGTTTTATTTTATGTAAGTCTATACTATCCTTTTTTACGTATTTCTGTTTAGTCCTAAATACGCTTGCTTCTTGCATCGACCATTGTTTTTGTCTCTGCATCACCCAAAGGTCTGGCTGGAGGAGAATGCCCTAGGCATTAAGCCCACCTTGTACATTAGTGTGTGCATGAAGTCTTTAAAAAAAATAGGTATATTTTTACAAATTTGAATCATGACACCGAAGAGGATCATAGATAACTTTTTATTTAAAGATTCGTAGATTATTAAACCTATGATTTGTCTGAATAGGGTAGATGGCTAATTTTTATTTTAATGTCCGTCAGGGAAGATTATTTTAAATCATTAGACATGTATTTTTTATTTTTTTACAGAAACAAACACTTTCGACGATATATTGATTTGAAATGTCGCGTGACGTCACTTCTATGTACATTTAATACGTAGTAATTACGTTTTAGCCCTATTCCTAAACTTTGATTCGTTTTATCTAAGTATTGTTTTATTATACGACAAAATAAATAAAAAATGCGTGTCTAATATTTTTTCATTACCTAACTTACAGACTAATTACATTTTTAATTTTTATGTCATCATCCCAATTGCACGCGGCCGAAACCGTAGACTAAGCTAGTGTAAATGTTTATGTAGATATAATTTTACAATGCGTGTTGATGTCACCTTGTGAAGGCCGTATAGCATGTTGACATTGTTATCACTAGTCTTTGAATACTGATAACATAAATAATACCTATGAATGTATGACTGCCTTGTTGTTCGAGGTAAAATTGTAATATAGCGACATCTATTTGTTTTGTTGTAAATTAAAATAATGTTCGATGGAATTTTAAAAATTATTTCAGTAGATTATAATAATAACTACCGTGAGATATTAACGCAACGTAGCGGCACCATGCTGCGTAATCTACTATATAAAAATAAGCCGGGTTTTCCTTCCTGACGCTATAACTCCAGAACGCACGAACTGATTTCCACGGTTTTGCATTCGGTGGAAATGTCTCGGGCTCCGTGAGATTTATAGCAAAGAATGTTACATAAAACGAAGCCATCTGGTGGCGAAACGGAGTTCGCCGGGTTTGCTAGTCTGCTAATGAATATAAGTCGGGACTTATCGCTCGACTTATTTTCGGGTCCCGAAAATAGTCGAGCTTTTTTCCCATAGCAAGCACATAATGCATTTTGTTTATTATAAAGAAAATAAAAACAATACATACCCGCAACCTTCTAGTTTCAGCTTCCATACTCCTGTCGTACAGGGTGTTGGCATACACAGGGGAGTATTGAGGATTTCTATCAAAAGCTGGCGATGGCAAACAGATACCCTTGGCCACATTGTTCCTTTCAATTTTCCCATAAATCTCATTCTTCTCCATAATATTCGAGTTATTATAAAGTTCCAAATTATTCTTCCCCAGTTCCATCACATTTTTACTTGATTCCATTACGTTACTCCCCGATTCTAGTCCATTTTGATTGAATTTTTCCTCAGGTTTCCTATCTATGTTAATTTTCCCGTATATATTGTCACATTGTTCATCATTGTTGACTTTTTTAGGTAACTTATTGTAATCTTTAGTCGGTTCGTTAAAGTTTTTAACAATGTCATCGATTTTCGTTTTGTTTCTGATAGCCACGTTGGCATATGAACAATTTTTGGGGTCTATCGAATTGTTTTCATTGATGGAAACGTTTTTCATTTTATTCATGTAATTTGGCATACTTTTGCCTCCTAGCACGTCTTTCGCTGGCGTATTAACTGTTAGAGAATTTGAACTGAACACTTTTGGAGATATTTCATTTTCGTTGGCCGTGTAAAACTGACTTCTTCCTATTTTCTGTTGCTTCGCATAGTACTCGAATTTTGATACTTTTGCCATTATTCCTGTCATTTTTGGCCTGGATTCTTGGTCTGAGTTTGAGTCTGACTGGTCTAGGTCTCTATAAGGTTTTTTGGGTGCGACTGGAGGTTTCTTTCTGGACATTTCTTTGAGTGTCATATCTAGTTCTTGGTCTAAATGAGTTAGTGAGTTATCTTTGTATATCTTCTGTATGTTGGTGTTTTGGTAACTATCATTGTGGTGGTTCACGTAAGCTGTGGACAAAGACGTTTCTGTTAAAAAAGTACTTATGTTAACTGTAAAGGAGATCTTTTAGATATATCAAATTAAAATAGTGGTCGAGTGGGCACAATCTGAGGAGGGAGCCTCGGGATGAGTAAAAAACATAACATAACATTACGCCTTTTATCCCCGAAGAGGTAGGCAGAGGTGCACACAGAAGTAACACCCACTTTTCACTTTTATGTTATGAGTTTCATGTAATAGGGGGTGAGCCTATTGCCATATACCGGGCACATTTCCAGAGTCCGTGTTACTACAGTTTTTTTTTAAAACCCAGTAATACTTTACCGGGAATCGAACCCGAGACCCATTTCCCGGTAGTCGCACTTGCGATGCAACCACTCGGCTAACGAGGCAGTGAGTAAAAATAATTCGTAAATTTCAGTAATAACATGAATTTTGAATAATAGATTTGCCCTTTAATAAAAAGACCTGTATTTATCAAGATAACTGGCAAAGTGAATGTCACATTCTATTATCATCATTCTCTCGAATGAATTCTACTTCGTGGCGATCAAAGCGTGATTACCATGATTTATATTGCCACACTGACAGATTTTAAATGTGGGAGAGCCATGCTCCGGCACGACTGGGCTGGCTCGACCGGAGTGATACCACGGCCTCACAGAAAACCGACGCGAAGCAACGCTTGCGTTGTGTTTCGTCGTGTGAGTAAGGTTACCGGAGGCCTATTACCCTCCCCTTCCCAATCTCCCCAATCCCTGAACTCCAAACGATCCTCAAACTCCTAATCCCCAAAAGGCCGGTAACGCACTTGTAACGCCTCCGGTGATCCAGATGTCCATGGGGGACGCCGATTGCTTACCATCAGGTGATCCGTCTGCTCGTTTACCGGCTTACGGCATAAAAAGAAATTAAAAGTAAGTCACAATGACACTTACCTGGTGTAACACACTGGTCATTGGGCTGGAACTGGACGGGAGCCATGGAGACGTGAGCTGATGGTAGAACTGACTTCATGAGCTTCGCCTCGGCCGGGTGGTTGAAACGGAGGTAGTTCGACCGGCCTATGGTTAGCATGCTTCCTGGAATAATAGAAAAAGATCTTGTTAGAAGGTATATATGTATTTTAGGCATAGCAATTTTGTTTTGTTTGTTTGTTTTTCCTTGTTGGCCGAGTAGTCGCAAGTCCAACTGCCGGGCAGGGGATCTCGGGTTCGCTTACCAGGGCGCTTACTCTTGGAACCAATCTCAATATCAAAGCAATTTCAATCCAATAATTATCCAATGTCAAACTATACAACCACAATCGTAGCTGTTACAATAGCATTCAGAGTACGGAATATAAAGCCAAACTCAATACCATTTAGTTCATTAAATATCCACGCAATACGGATGTAATGAGCGCTAGTGTTGCAACTCAAGAGTACGAAATTTCACAATACCAACGTCGCTCGATCGGAATTGGATTCAAGAGGAAGCCCCCTGTTCGGGCAACGTAATACTGGGTTTAAAAAAAGGGCTACCTACCTACCCTTGCCTACCCCTTTGAGGATAAAACGCGTGAGGTAAAGCATGTTGTTTTACTCCTGATTTAGAATCGAGTAGTAGCACATATTTATGACAAACTTAACCCCTTGAGGGTAAAGGCTTTCTGACGTGAGGGTTTTTCAATATACTTAAAAATTAATCTAATTTAACAAACTTTTGAATATGTAGTTTGTATGAAGGCTTGATACCCGGTTGGGGCAAACTGACCAATGCTTGAAAAGAGGGTGAAGTCTCCTTTACAATAGTAAAGGCGTGACCCTAAAGTTACCTACGTTTACAATTAATAAATAAATTTGAATGCACACTGCGACACATGACCCAAATGACAGATGCCAGAAGACGCACAGACGATCAACAAGTAAATCAAAAGGTGACGTCACAATTCCTGCATCGCACATGTGAAGTTTACATGTGAATTAACACGGATAGGAAATCCCAACGTACAACTGTTGGGCAGAAAGCCCCACCAGGCACGATCATGTCGCCTGGTACCCACGAGGATCCTCCTTTCTTTGGGAACATTACTCACTGTTGCCTGGAATCTTATGCCAACACACATAATGCGATGCCATGCCAATGTTAGTCCAATTCGTCACGAATTCAATATAATTGAATTTGCGTATTGATGTAAATTGCTTAATCAAATATTATCTTGCGTAGTAACACTATTACAGGCGGTAAGTAGATGGATCTAACAAACGTAATATCGCATTGTTCCGTAATATTTACAAGCAAGTGATCAAATGAGTATGTTTATGGGATAAGCCGGTAAACGAGGAGACGGATCACCTGATGGTAAGTAATAGGCGTCGCCCATGGACCAGAGGCGTTACAATTGAGTAGGAATTATTGTTGTTGTTAGGGATTCAGGGATTGGGGAGGTTGGGGAAGGCGGCGGGGGGTAATTGAGCCTTCGGTAACCGCTCGCTCACACGACAAAATACAACGCAAGCGTAGTTTCACGTCAGTTTTCTGTGAGGCCGTAGTACCACTCCAGTCGAGCCAGCCCATTTGTGCCGAAGCATAGCTCTCCCACACTTACTCACTTACGTTACGTACGCACGATATAGGGGAAAATTTTAATGCAGGAAAAAAAAACAATAACATGTCCAACCTCCTACTTCGTATTATTATCAGATAAGGGTTTTAAAACAAATATAACATCTGCTACGGTAGTCATCAAGTCAAAATCGCCCGTGCAAATTGTGAAGACTTGAATTTAAAAAAAAATACACATGTAAAATTACTAGTTAGATCCGGAAATGAATTAGTTTCGGATGTTGACTGAAGCAAATTGGCTAAATTCGAGTCTAGACAGGAGTTAGACATATCTACAAGGTCGTCTGTATGTCCGTTGTGACATTTATTTAAAAGTAATTAGATGTTTGTCCTTGTCTGAGTAGTCTGTCATGATATAACCTGATAAGGATATAAACAAGTTTTATAAAATGCAAATTAAATTAAATTGAATTTGAAAAATCTTATCCTTTCGCTTCTTATTATAATGTATGAACAGCACTCTTTCTGTTCCTTGACAAAAATTCCCAGTATTAAATTCACAAGCAATAGGGATGGTGACAGGGTATGAAAATTAAAAGCTAATTAGTCCGTAAGTTAGGTAATGAAAAAACATTAGACACGTCACATCATTTTGTCTTTAATAATAATAATGTCGTAATGATAATAATTTTGTCGTAAAAATGTCGTAAATTAATACTTAGATAAAACGAATCAAAGTTTAGGATTGGGGGCTAAAACTTCATTTCTACGTATAAAATGTACATAGAAGTGACGTCACGCGACATTTCAAATCAATATATCGTCGAAAGTATTCGTTTCTGTAAGAAAATAAAAATACGTGTGTAATGATTTAAAACAATCTACCAGACGGACATTAAAATAAAAATTAGGCATCTACCCTATTCGTCAACCCTCAATTTTCGAGTATTATTTTTAAAGAAGCTCTTTTGTTTAGAATTTCCGTTTATTTGGATGATTAATTGCATTGTTTAGTGAAACGTTTCGCATAGGATTTAAGGTGTTTTTTGCATGTCTTTTAATATAATATAACCCACCTTGAGACAACCTAGTCGGCTTGTCCACCGGCAACCCATCCAGCAGCGTGCTGCCACTGAGCGGATACAGCGTGACCACTCCATGGGAGTTCTCGACCCGGCAGTGGACGCTGGCCACTCCGGTACCGACCACGTAGATATCACATGTCGGGTCCGAACCGATGGTGACTCGACCTGGAATTAGAGGACGAGGAATTGTTTAGAAACTGTCGACCAACTCATTGACTGTTTTTATGTAGATGGTTCATAGACCATAGAATCATAATTCAGCACAAATGAGCTGGTACGGTTTGAGTGCTATCATGGCTGCACAGAACCTCGGCGTGAAACAAAGATTTTTTGGGCCTATCCCCCATATCCAATTTCCAATCTTAAATATTTTCAAATCTTCTGGTGCATCACCATGGCTGTCCATGATCGGTGTCGATCTTATCAATAGGTGATTCGTCTGCTTGGTTTCTGCCAAAGATATATACTTTCTATACTACTAAAGAGGTTAAGACATGAAGATTATGCCTGACAGACGATTTGAGATCGTCAGCTCTTAAGAACCCGTGGAAAGTTTAGTAATCAATGGTTTCTTTTGACTTGACTTTGTATCGACTTTTGTTGATAGTTCTAAATATTTTGGAAGTTTATCTTACCTTGCTTGATGGGATGCAAAGTGACGGCGGTGCTCAGTCGACCGGTGCCCAGGCTCACCAGGTGAGGAGTGTTGGTCGCCACCCTGGAAAAAGGAAAATATATTCTTTAATAAATAACTCTACAAAATTCTCTAAAACTACATCCTACTAATATTTTGAATGTGAAAGTTTGTATGTTTGTTTGTTATTGTTTAGCGTCAAAACGGCTTAAGGGATCGGAATGAAATTTGGTACAGGGGACCACAGGACCAGGGTCGAAGCCGCTGGCAGAAGGTCGTATTTTAATAATTTTAACACATTGGATGCCGTGTCGGAATTAATGCCAATGACGACCGAAGTTTTTTTTTGAGGGGGGAAAATCATCGAATGACTTCTCCCCCCGCGTGAGGCGTGAGGGAGTGTCAGACTCTTACTGACTAAAAACCACCCCGTTCCTACTCCTGCGCTTCGAGCCGGGGCCCCAGGAACCAGTTAGGTTCGCCGCGGGTCCGTATCGGCATCAGCCCTATTGGGCCACATCCGTGGTGGTCTGATGGCTCTTTGAGGCGCGCGCACGACCGACGCTAGAAGAGGATTAGCCTTAAGTAGTTCTTTTGTCGGCAATTGGGGGTAGAGTAAAAGGATTACCTAATGATAAGTGGTGAGCAAAGTGTACAATACCAGAGACACGTCATGGGCTCTCTACTTCGACTACTTTCGTCTATTATGCAGTTCCAAAGACTTAAGTAATAAATACAAGATCTCAATTTCAATATAATTGTCAGCGGAAAATAAATATGTATTATTGAAGGGTGCCTCCTTGATTTCTCTTGTCGATAACCAACATCAACATTTTATATTTTATTTATATTAATGATATAAAGTATACCTCATTTTATATTTTTTAATTAACAGCTTTCATTAACTCCATAATTATGTTTAAGTAAATGAGACAACATGAACATAAATTACGTTTTTTATGATGCGTGCAAAGATTACTAAGATTATAACATCTTATTTAAATACTGACTTTTCGTCTGTGGTGTTGCTCGTGTATAATCTAGAAGGTAACAATCGAGTAATTCCCGATTTTGTATGAAAATCGGTTTAAAAAGTAATCCATAATATGTTACTTTCCGAAAAACAAGACTTATAATATTTTTAGCCATCATCACTGCTAGCATATGGATCTTCTTTACATAAGGGGTTTGCCACAATCTCCGTGCTTGGGAGGCAGGTTAGAGACAGCAGTTCAAAAGGTTCAGGTTTATCAGTGCTGCTACCCGGTTACTGTCAGATCTGTTAGGGTATCCATTGGAAGAGTGGGGTTTTTTTTAAGTGGTATCTTCATCGAATGACTTCTGCCGCCCGGGTGAGGCGAGTGGGAGTATCAGACTCTTACTGACTAAGACCCACCCCGTTCCTACTCCTGCACTTCGAGCCGGAGCCCCTGCCCCCGGCATCAGCCCTATTGGGCCACATCCGTGGTGGTCTGATGGCTCTTTGAGGCGCGCGCACGACCGACGCTAGAAGAGGATTAGCCTTAAGTAGTTCTTTTGTCGGCAATTGGGGGTAGAGTAAAAGGATTACCTAATGATAAGTGGTGAGCAAAGTGTACAATACCAGAGACACGTCATGGGCTCTCTACTTCGACTACTTTCGTCTATTATGCAGTTCCAAAGACTTAAGTAATAAATACAAGATCTCAATTTCAATATAATTGTCAGCGGAAAATAAATATGTATTATTGAAGGGTGCCTCCTTGATTTCTCTTGTCGATAACCAACATCAACATTTTATATTTTATTTATATTAATGATATAAAGTATACCTCATTTTATATTTTTTAATTAACAGCTTTCATTAACTCCATAATTATGTTTAAGTAAATGAGACAACATGAACATAAATTACGTTTTTTATGATGCGTGCAAAGATTACTAAGATTATAACATCTTATTTAAATACTGCCTTTTCGTCTGTGGTGTTGCTCGTGTATAATCTAGAAGGTAACAATCGAGTAATTCTCGATTTTGTAGGCAAAATCGGGTTAGAAAGTAACCTAATATGTTACTTTCCGAAAAACAAGTCATATAATATTTTTAGCCATCATCACTGCTAGCATATGGATCTTCTTTACATAAGGGGTTTGCCACAATCTCCGTGCTTAGGAGGCAGGTTAGAGATAGCAGTTCAAAAGGTTCAGGTTTATCAGAAAGTGCTGCTACCCGGTTACTGCCAGATCTGTTAGGGTATCCATTGGAAGAGTAGGTTTTTTGAAGTGGTATCTTCATCGAATGACTTCTGCCGCCCGGGTGAGGCGAGAAGGAGTGTCAGACTCTTACTGACTAAGACCCAACCCGTTCCTACTCCTGCACTTCGAGCCGGAGCCCCGGTTACCCGTTAAGTACTCCGCGGCCTGAAAAGTGGGGTTGGTAACAAAAAGAAATCTGTAATTACCACAGCTAAAGAAACAAATTCCTCTTAATAATTTTGTATGTTATTTAATAATATTTGGTTGTTAACTTTAATAAAGAGATTGTCATAATAAGTATCGTTTTGACACCGGTATGCGACCTTTAAATCCGGTACCACGCCAAAGGCTCAACGTTATAATTAAAACGATAATTGATATCTCATTTATGTTTGTGTGTAATATTGAGATGAAAAGGAAACTTGTGTAATAACCTACTTTGTTTTTTTTCTTCTTCGGTCCTTCAAAAACATAGAGGTTTGATATTATTATATTGACTTAAGTGAAAGACTTTTGGATGACCTACAGTGGGATAGGCTGAATAAAATTATCGTAGTTTGTAATGACTGCCTCGTTGGCAGTGGTAGCAAGTGCGACTGCCGGGCAAAGGGTTCTCGGGTTCGACATCCGAGTTTTAAAAAAATTCTCAGTAGTAGCACGGAATCTAGAGTTGTGCCGTATATAGCAATAGGTTCACCCCATGAGACTCATAACATAAATAGTGAAAAGTGGGTGTTACATTGTACAGTGGCTCTAAGTGCCCTAATGTGCATTCTGTCTACCTCTTCGAGGATAACAGGTATGGTGTTATTATGTTAATTCTATAATCCCTCTACACTTAACTCTTTGAGTACCATCATTATAGACACAATTAAAGAACAATAGGTTGCGGTCACCGGTGTCCTCGCGGTGTTTGACAGTTTAATGAACCGGGCCATTGAGCCTATCTAAGACCTCATAATTCAGCAGTGACAAATGAAACAGTAGATTCATATACCATTCATTCACACCACAAAGCTGCAACAAAACAAACCAACTAATTATAGATGTAACGCTTTTTATTTTTGTAACAGTTATCGTTATAACGTTAAACATTACGAGTAACGCATTAAACTCTGTTTATTACCGCCACATCTGGTCGGTTCAAGGAGGTTATGAGTTTAAGAGTAGTAAACGACAGATGGATGAAATATTAAACAATATGTTTATCGACGAATGTATGTTGGTTGTTGAATTGTAGTGAATTTGAACCTGGAAATTTGATTTAGGTTGAATAAGTCGGACAATGTGGAATATGTGGCGTTATGAAGTGTGGGAGAGCCATGCTTCGGCACGAATGGGCCGGCTCAACCGGAGTAAGCCACAGCCTAAAAGACGACCGACGTGAAACAACGCGTTGTTTCAATCACAATCCCTGAATCCCTAACAATCCTCAAATTTATAATCTCCAAAAGGCTGGTAACGCACTTGTAAGTTGTAGCACCCCTGGTGTTTTGGGTGTCCAAGGGCGGCGCCGATTGCTTACCATCAGGTGATTCGTCTGCTCGTTTTCTGGCTTACCCAATAAAAAAAACTCTGTTAATTGTGAACCTTTTAAACTGTGATTTCCACGTCTCCAACTGACCTGCCAAGCATGAAAACTATATACATCCTCTTCGTAGAGAGGGTTCTAAGGTTTTAACTTCCTTGCGTCCAGAGCACTGTCTCGAGCTATTTGATGACAGTGCTTGCTATAAGGACAATCTTAAAAAAACGAGAACTCCCTGTTACTTTGTTTTGGGCATTAAATATTCATTTATTTATTTGACAACCACTGTCCATTTTCATATAATTTATTTTTCCTTTGATTTTAAATAAGCATAATCCATCTGCTCTAGATACACACATAAAACCATAATTCATAATTATAGGAAGGCGAGACACTCTATTTATAGTTGCTCGCGATGCGCATGCGATGGTCGTCTCGCGTTGCACTTTTCTTTCGTTTTGTGCACACCCTTTGCAATGTAGACATAATTAAAGTCACGCTGTATACAGTTCAGGTTGAGACCTGTTTGGTTAGGGCGTTAACATAACATAACATTAGTTCGTTTAATTGGAGGTTAGGGTTATGTAGTATGTACGTATGTTTGTTTTTTCTGTAAGATTTATAGTCTTTATTTATTTTGCTAATATCTATGGAACTTCTTGGCACATCAGTTTTTAATTATCATTAATACGATGAAGAATAAATAAGTTCATTTCATTTTATGAGAACCATTATCACAATGTCGTGGTGGCCCGAAGGTTTAAGATGCCCGCCGCTTCTCATGCATCAGCTTGCTGGTTCGAAACCTACCAACAGCAAATACCAATGTGACTTTTTCCTCGTTATACTTTCTAAAATTATTTAGACACCACTGACAAACAGTGAAGGAAAAACATCGTGAGGCAACCTGGGCTTATAATTTCTAATTATAAGTTTAAAATCGCCAACCCACATTGAGGAAGCGCAGTGATTAATGGTCAAACCTTCTCCGTGTGAGAAGAGGCCTTTGGTCAGAAGTGGCCACTTATAGGCTGTTGATGTGATGTCATACAAAATAATTTAATGTTTTAACATCATAAAGAACTTTCCTGTGAAACACTGACTCTCAATCTCAACTCTCAACAAGATTCACCATCTACACAGTCCTCCCCAATTGACTTAATGAACTAATTGTTTTAGTTATCTGTGGTTTTAGATATGCCCTAGCCTTGCCGAACAGCCCTAAGAAGTTCAGAACATGTCGGGTCATGTGAAGGAAGCGACAATCTATTTCAGTGGCGCCTGCGCAACGTGCTGTTTCTGTTGCGCACGCGACTGCAAGG